TCAGAAGTTGAGAATCTCACGTCTAAAGATTAAAAATTCTTTGAAAGCCCTCTTGAAAGTCTTTAAAATATATAGAGTACGTAAAATAATTTTTTAATAACGAATATTTTAACACATATTACTGAAATTATATCTATAAAAGTTAACTGAAATAAAAGTTGATTTATAAATCGTGCAAAATGAGTATAAAATATTTATAATGTAAAAAAATTAGAAGACTGTATATAATTTTATAAAAAGTGAATAGGTACTTGTAGTGTAGCAATTATGCAAATTTTGTTTAGCGTAGCCTCGTTTCTCATTTAACAGAGAATATAAATATCTTTTCTGGCAATTATTTAAATTACATTTTAATTAAAATGATAACATGTGACCTCGCGTTAGTGTAGCGTGCGTGCGTGTATATGTGTGTATGTGTGTGTAAACGTTATAACCACCATTATCTTTCGTTCTCGTCACTCGCGTCCGAGCTAACCAATGTTTGCATTTGGATTTGCTATGCGGGCGTATAATCGCGGGATTTATCTCGTGTCTGGTTTAGGATAAAAGGATCGAATATTTTCGATATCACATCAAAAAGAAGCGAGAACAAATTTGCACAGAGCACATATTATTAAAAACTTGTATCATATATTTTAATATACGTAACATTGAATGTTACTATATACATGTTTTTTAAAATTATAAACATTAATCCGAGAGAGATATGTGCTCTAATAGTAAACAACAATATGAGTTGAAATTTAATTCATTCAGACATCTCCATTGTCGCGCCTTAAAAGAGAATATTCTCTGTGTCAACTGTCTAATTCGTCAAAATAAACGACGTTGCTATATTGCCCGTAAATGTGCATTGTAAATTTGTAATCGTCGTCGACTTTCGCTCAACCTCGTCGACGACGGGCCGATGTTTGCCTGGGGATAAACCACACGGGAATAGAACCGTGCGATTCATCTCGCGTCTGGTTCGAGATGCGAGAAGAAGGGCGCGAAAGCGTAGAATAGAAGGCGAAGACGAGCGACGAGAAGAGTATAGGGAAAAAAGGCGGGAAATACCCTCGGGAGCCCTCGGCAGATTTATGCCGGCCCTGGCTGGCTGGTTGGCTCGCCGGCGTCTCGTATACATTCATCCCTCTCTGGTTCCCGGGAGAAGATGAAGACGCGGGGGAAGAAGAGCCGGAGGGGTTTTCTCTTTCTCCCCGCCCGCGGGCCAAAGGATCCTACAGGATATTATACGATATGCACCGAAAGTTGATAGATGGCTATTACGTTCCGCTAAGACGAGCGTACCACGCCGCGAAAATTTTCTCCCTCAGGATTCTCTCGGTCTTCTACCTTGTGATTTCTCAACGGAAAAAACTCCCCCGGTCCGCGGCTTACGTCCTCATTCTCGTCGCCATCGTCGTTGACGACGTTTCTACATCCGCAATAATTTTTGGTTCCCTCGATGCCGGGAAGTTGAGATTCGCGCGCGCGCTAACCGTCGGATAGGAAAAATGTTTATTGAAAATATTAAGGGGTCAGAGAGTTTTATTTCATGATTTATTTATATCTTCTTCATATTTTAGACGTGAGTCTCATGCCGATTTATTTGCGCGTTCTCGTTCGATATTCGCTATTTTGCATGTTGCGCGTAACAAGAAATTATTAATATATCTAATACATACATGTGTTCCGTATAGATGAAAAGCGATTTCATACAGAACAGAAATATTCTGTCTTTCTGATGGTGTCTGCTTTTACTCAACATCTTTCTGTTTTATCGGACTTTACACTTAATGCTCGACGAATACGAATGAAGTGTATTGAGATGAAAATACATGCGTGGTAAAGGGAGTTGATCCAGTTTCATAATGATTTTTGCTGTTTGTTTTATATCTCAGGTAAACCTATATATAGTTCTATCATGTCTGCTTAAAATTGAATAAATGTTAAAGAAAAAAAACAAAACCACAATATAACGCAAGAAGTTTTTTACGATTTATTATATGATAGAGATCATATCTTTTTTATCGAGCCGAGCTCTTTTCATCTTTCTTCATTTCGCAATGACGTTTGCTATTCAGTAACTTGTTCCATGCGTGATGGATAATTAATAAATGTCGATTCATATAGCAAAATATCAAATGTAATATGAAATGTAAATCTCTTTGATCGTATTCATGTGGATGCATGCATCTCTATGGAAGAAATTTCCAATATATTAATACTAAATTCTCTCTCTCTCTCTCTTTCTCTCTCTCTCTTTCTCTCTCTCTCTCTCTCTACACACACACACACACACACACACACACACAGAGTATATATCTCTTTCTATATACATATATATATATATATATACATATATATATATGTGTGTATATTTGCCTATCTATATTTATTATCTCTCCCTGCAACATAATTATTATATTATTATTTTATGGATATTACAGTATGTCATTAATATATTCAATCAACTTTCGGGACTTCACTGCTTTAAATATAATATTCTATTGATAATAAAATTATTATGTATAAAAACACTTCTTTCTCGCTTTGTTTCGTCAACAGAAAATCCATTCTATATCGTTAGCAAACCAAAACATTAAGCGCGATCCAACCCAGTAATAGATTTGCCGGGCAGTCTCTCTCTCTCTCTCTCTCTTTCTCTCTCTCTCTCTTTCTGTGTACGTATGTAAGTATGCGTGTGTGTATTTGTGAAGAGAAAGGGATTATAACGGGGTCTTGATCCGGGTGAACCGACCAACGTAATACAATTAACGGAGCTTTGCTAAGTACCGTAACACAGCCTCCCTGCTCTTTGGATTTGGCCCAAATATTCGCATTGCCACGAGAATCCACGATAAACCAACTTGTCGGCAAATTCTATTCTTGGAGACTATAGAATCGTAACGATTACCATGACGTTCTACGTTGCTGTCGTAAGCTGTATTACAATGTTAATAAGAAATTAAACAATTTGATTTATTTATACAACAATGAAAAGAGTCAAAATATTAAAATTAAGTATCGTTGTTTATATACTTCTAATGTAAGAGTTTCTTCGTAATGTATAGATTTTTATGACGCACACATTTCAATAACTGATAATGTGTAAGCTCAAATGAAAATTTTACTTCAATTTATTTTTCCTAAAATTAGTAACTTTCCAAACACACAGTTGTTCGATAAATTGCAATTTATCGATTTATTGATAGAGGATGAACTCGCGGTGGCGGACGAATTTAAACGGATCACCTTGCAATCGTAAAATCTCTTTGTAGCGCACAGCGCAATAACTGCGAATTCGTCGATGATAGGAGACACCGATATCTTTGGCACCCGAGTTGCTCTTTGTCTTTCTGGCCGCTTACGGTTCCGGTTGACTTCAAAGCCGGACCGATGCAGCTCGATTGAACCGACGCTTCTTGGTTAGAATCCGTTCGTTTCGTACAAACAATTCGAGAACAAGCCAGTCGATCGCCTTGTTTAACTTTCGGATGCGAGATAACAAAGGTGATGAATGATACACTGCAGTAATAAATTTTTGAAACAAAAGATTTTTTCAATCTGTAAAAAAATGAAAGCGGTTACAATTTGAGACGAAGAAACAATTGCGATACATAATAAAGTAGACGAAGAAACAATTGCGATACATAATAAAGTCACAGTCGAACGTGAAAATTAAATTTCCTTGTTTTTGTAAAATCCAAATTATAATATAAATCGTAATATTCGTCTATATTACAATAATTCAAAAATCATAAATTATTTGATACGAGTTGTGAAAGTGATAATTGCCGATAAATACTGATTGAATTGACCATAGAGTAAAGTATACATTGCAACATTATGATGAAGAAAAAAAATACGTTATGTGTCCTCATTACAAACAGTTATCGTGAAAATTCACGCCTGCTTCGCTCCATCGTAAATCAGGATAAGTGACATGTAATGGCCCTTCGGATAATTCCGGAACTTCTCACACCATTTGAGTGCTGGATGGCACCATTGAGAGCAAGCGAATGTCGAATCACGCAGTAACATAACAATGAGACAATTCCACTAACTTAATCGCATGATTGAGCGGAGTTTAATCACGAAATTGCGACTGATCGATTTAGATTAAATCAAATTCCGCAAAATGTCGATATCATCCGTCCGCGAATAAAGTTTATGAATAATAATTACTGTCCTCTCTTTTTAGAACTTGGCAAATTTTTTTCTGGAAAAAAAAACGATGAAAAAATCGTATTTCTATCGAGAAACGAATTACTTCTGTAAATTGCGTCGGCAATGCTAATCGACCGACTTTTGTCACTGGCGAGCTTTCTCGCGAGTAAACAATCGCAAGAAGAGTCGCACGAAACTGTCTATCGTTCGCTCCTCTGCCTTAGAGTGTCTGGAAATGAAAGCGTTTCGCCTCACAAGGTATTGAGATTAGTATCTGCGGTGAGTGAGAAGCGTGAACGGGGAAGAGCGCTATAGAAACGAAACGTTACTTATTTCATATCCGACATGGACCGCTGCGGCGTATTCAATAGCGCGGAGATGTCGCGCTTCCGGCACGTACGCGCCTCAGCATTGTTGATAAGTCACCGTACCTGACATTGCTACAGATATCGCGAACAAAACGCGAAATCGATTTCCCTCGTCGAGACAGAAACGAAATTCCCGCGCTCTCGCGCGCTTCAGACACACACTTTAAATGTAGTCGTGAAAAATTGTCGGGACAATCCCCGAGAAATATTCGCGATGGAATTCGATTCATTCGATTTCGAAGAACCAAGGAAGGAAGAGGCGCGGGCGAACCGAGGCGACGATCGACGTTTGAATATGTCTATGAAATATTTAACGGTCTCTGTGAATGTGTCTATGATTTAGTTTTCTTTTCCGAGTATGTCACTGACGTGTGGATATCTACAATTTTCAAAGAAGTATGTTGCACGCAGCACGATATACGTGATTTGAATACAATATAAGCTGCTTTCAACAAAAGCGATATACACGCTCATACTCACTGAGGCGAGACAGCTTGTAGGCATCCGCGGTGTTAATTACGTCCACGAAGGCTTGCAGCTCGAATTTGCGAGTTGTATTGTTTTGATTGTTGTAGTTCATCATTGCGAATTTGAAGGCGGATTGTACCTCGTCGGTGCCTTGTTCAAAAATGGCGCCTGAAAACAAAGAATATCGAAGCTGATCATCAAATACACCGTTCTATATATAATATTATATATATTATTAATCCTATGTACACATACATAATAATTAATATTATTTATAACTAAATAATAAGAATAATATATTTTTTCACAAATTTGAAATAGTTTGATGCAACTGTAATTTAAATCGAGTATCTGTCCTCAGAAAAAACGTGTTCGAGTATAATTTCCAATTAGCTATCGATTTCAGAATTCACGGACTTAGAGAATGTTGTGAGGAAATGCGATTATCCCGAACGTCGTGAAATCGGATGTGATAATCCAACGCGACACCCTGTATCGGATGTCTGATATGTGGCGCTCCGTTTACTACTAGCTCACATACGGCGCGCAGTGGTACGAACCAGCGTCTGCTCAGGCAGAGCGTCTGCATACGAGGCCTCCGCGTAATTACACCGATCCATTCGGCGTTAATAGTCGGTAATACCTACCAATATTAATGCTATCGCTCGTCATGTAATTTAGTGTTAACCGACAACATATTCGATAATCCGGTGAATCTATTTCTCAAGTAGATTCTTTTTTAATAAGAGAAACGCCTTTGCGCGCATGATTGTTATTACGGATAACCAAGTCGGACAGGGCGAATTTCAAGATTTTTCGTAGAAGGATGCGCGCGTTGATAGTCGATGAAAATATTGGCGTCGTCGCTGCAGAAATAATATGGCTACACGCATTTATCAAGCTATTTATTTCACGTCAAATGTATCGCATATTCCAGATGTTGCTGTCGATGAAGTGATCGATGATACGCTAACACGGTATGCGTCGTATAATCGAGTAACTGTCAGCGCTGAATACTGCACTTTGTGTCTTCGTTATTCCGAGCATCCGGCGTTACCATTAATATCTGGTTGGAAAACTCAGCCGCCGAGACCGAATGCGGATTTTCGTGTATATTAAATGTGTGTATATACATATATATATATATACACATACACACACTTTCACAGAGTTGGTTGCAAATGCAGCACGAGGGGAGAAAGGCAAGGACGAACGAAGAACGGGCAATCATGCGAATTGACAAACTTGTATCGAAATAATTTTCGTTACGACTTTTCCAAGTTGTAACGCCGAACGTCGCCCGTGCCCGGAAGCTGTTTTTCCACGCGCTCTCGCGCAATGAGAGAACTTTTCGCGCGCGACGAATAAGATACGCTTCGAGGTGTTACACGATATTATAACACTCCTCTTTTCTCTCATCTCATTTCTTCTCGCCTCTTTTGTCTTCCGCCTTATATACCCGAGTTGCATGCCTGTCACACGTGAATTTTTCTTTTCGTCTTTCGTAAGTGCATCTAATTTTGCAGTTGCGCGCGCGTTGAGTCTCGTCGAAATATCAGCACATAACTTTGAAACAAAGTAATGTTCACTATCCCGCCTAAAATTCTGGCAGTAAACTGGAAGTGGACAGGATATCACGCCGCGCGCGACGTGATTTCGTACTTTAAAGGCGAACACAGAGAGATATTGCTTTGCGCGTAAATCCATACACAGTTATTAACTTTTCGATATTGTACGCAACGAACAATGCATCAGACAAAGAATTATTTTCTTCTGCGAAAGTTACGCTATATCCTATATATATAACGCGGATGATATATTTCTTTTCCTTCTTACTTTTCAATATCACAAATACATTCATTTATTTTCATTAGTTTTATATATTCAGTTTTTATTTTTTTCCATTTGTTTATTATTTGTGTTATTTTGATCGAATGTTCTTTGTTTATGTTGCACTTGAAATAATTTTCACAAAACGCCTAACAAATAAACCTATCTCTCTCTCTCTGTGTGTACATATAATAATATAACATATAAAAAAGAACAAAAGTAATAGTTGTTGGAACACTTGGCCAAAAACGAGTTTGCAATATTACCGTCTATCTTTTATTAAATCGTTTTTCTTTCATATCGATTAATTGGAATTACTATGTAGTAGAGTTCCAATTAAAATTGTTACTATTAAATACTGAATATTGATCCGTGTGGCATACACGGTAATATCCGGGCTTCATATATTCCGCGATTTAATCTCTCGCGAACGTTTTAAACGAGATCACGCACATGTCAAGGCACGCAAAAGCGGAACATCGTTTTACGTAGCGCGCGTAATGTTATTCTCCAGCTGACTGTACAAAGACACCTGCGACAAGAGAAAGATACTAGCGCAACGTACGCGCACAGCAATGTTCGAGCTATTATTCCTTGTTACGCAAAAAACCAAGAGGAAAAAAGCCGCGTGAAAAAAGAATTCCATTGTACTTTGGGCAACACACGGCATACAATTACACCACAATAGCGTCGCTAATTTCTCGTAATTGATATCCCGGAACGTACCTCCTGCTTACAATCTGCTCTCACGCTTATAATTCGCGGTTTACCTCTAACGCAGTTCTTGTATCTTGAATATCCCCACGGCGAGATATTTAAATCGTCGCGTCGTCGCGGGTTTGCGGGGTACGCGGGAATTATCGGCCACCAACCGACAACGATAAAAGGAGATTATTATTATTATTGCCCGCACGGGGTGTGCGCTTTATAATAATTAGCACACGTTGTAGACGATTAATGCCTTTGAGGCGGTTTCGCGCTGTCCAAAGCGAGACAGGAGATTAGACCGGGAGACATTCCGCGCGTGTGATACGGTCTACTTGATATTGAGGAGGCTCTCGCTCGTCGTCGCGTAATATCATTTGATTAAAATACTTGAAAGGACGAGTCGGAATTCTCGATCTCGCGCTGTGTTTAATACGCTCTTTCGCTCGTTTCTATCCCTTCGCCCGCCGCCGTTCTCTTCGCAAACATGTCCTCCGCTAGCCAATATTTGCTGAATATCTTCGTTCGATATTAAAATTGTTTTACATCAAGCCGGCCGTTTCTGCGGGGACTGGCTAACAGGAACAAAATTCGCCGTCAGCAAAAACACAAATGCGCCGCGCGTTTACCTGAATTGTAATTACAATAAAATCCGCAACGCCGCCAGCATCGCATTAAGTTAATATTAATTAACTCGCTCTTCATTTGCCGTGTCAAAAGCGCCGGAAATTTACGCGCTGCAAAAATTTTGCCGACTACGAGGTAACGCAATGGTACAGTAAGAACGTTACATTAGATTTATGCTTCAATTTAGGTCTCTTGCAAATTTATTGTTCTGCGTGTGTATATGTCTGTGTGTGTGTGCTGCGTGTGTGTAACTGAAATAATATACTTCTTCTGTAAATTGAGAAGAATAACCATTGTTGACTACCTTTCCAATTAAAAGATATGCTATGTCGCACGTACGTAGATACACATATATGTCGGGGTGAGAGTTTGACGAGTTCTGGCAATAAACTTATATCACTCCGCGATATAGATATTTATGGTGCATCCTAGCAAAACTTGGCGAATTTATTGGCTTTCCCTTAAATACGCGACAAAACTTGAACGCTAAATCACCTCGCGCGTAGAAGCGCACTTATTAAACCCAGCGTATTCTTATTACCGGTGCCGATAAGAGCAGAGGTATGGATTAATATAGATCGCGACCACATAATTAAGCCGCGAATATTATAAAACCGAAATACCGACCGCTAAACTCGAATTCTATCGATGGAATCGTTTTATATGCAAAATGTGTGCAGCTATTAGTTCTCTTTTGTGGGCGCGCACACGTTAATGCACATAGCGGTTAAAAAGGCTTTGTTCAAATATATTCCAGTTTCTTTCTCTCTCACACACGAACCGTCTGTCTACGAAGTGATACAAGAGTGTTTGCTATGTACATAACTCTAGCTATATATACTTCTCAGATACATACTTCCGTTTATCTCCGTCAACGAATTGTGTACGACAACAAAGTGCGAGACGAGATAATAAAAGACAAGAAAAGATAGATTCGGAATTTTCTTTTTCTCTCTCTCTCAGTGTATTCTTCATTGCGTGTCATACGTCTCGTGCGTAGGCAAACGCACTTTGACGTATCGTGCACTTGATACGTCAGTGGCTTTAAATACCGGTCTAGCGTACCTGTGTTTATTTCCGCGCGCGTTGACAGGTGGGGCGCCGCCGCGCGTCTATTGATTGGTGCCCAGCTTCCCCACCAGTGTCTCACACTCACATCGATTCCCCCTCTTCGTTACTCGTGCAACAACCCTGCTGCTGCTGCTGCTGCTGCGCTGCACCCCTTACCCTTCACCGTCCTTCTTCCCTTTTCCTGCATTCCCTGCACCTCCTCCCTCCCTCTCTCTCTCTCTCTCTCTCTCTCTCTCTCTCTGCTTATCTCTCCTCTCCGTCGTTATTTTCGTTCTCTCGGTCTCTCCGCAGCTGTCTGCCTTCCTATCATTTCCCTTCCCTCGTCGCCCCGTACATCGCGTCCTTCGTTTTTCGCCATGTCGACCAATAATTCGCTCTCTTTTTACTCTTATTTTCTCTTTCGTTTCTCGCCCGCATACTCGAGAACCGCGGAATCTCCACTATTCCCTTTCACGTATATGCTCTCCTCCTTTTCCACTCGTCCTCCGAACTCCGGATGCTTTCTTCCACCTCTTTCCCACGGCTTCTATCAAAGCCGCGGTCTTCAAGCCGGTCGCGCTCTCATCCTCCTTCTCCCTCCTCTTCTTTCTCCATCCGTGCACGCGCGCGTTCAAGATTTTTCCCGATGCGCGGCTTTTTCTCCTGCTGTTATTGTCGATTGAGCGATGCGTCGCGTTGTCAGACGCGCTGCATTCCCGCGCGATTTCAATACTTAATAAGTATCGGAAAGTTCGATGAATACTATTTATACCGGCATTGTCACAGACCGTGAATATAATATTGAAACGCGGACTGACAGTAGACGTGGCACTCCATTATCCGCCGTGTCTGACTCGTGACAGACTGTGACCACCGGAGTCCGATTCAATTTGCAAGATTTAAAATTTCTCTTTCTCATCCCTTCAAGATACTGTTACGAACTACTTTTTTTTACT